CGCTGCCGGTTGGCCTCTTAAGGGGGGGGTAGTCTTATACGGCGAGTATAGGCGAAAACCTATGTTTTAACTAGAAAATTAGGGGGTCGTCTTATACGCCCAGTTGCCTTATACGCCGGAAAATACGATAAGTCCTTGAACTAGACTATATGGACTATAAGCTATTTACAAATTTATTTCCAGAGTAATAATCATAAAAGTTGGAGAAACCTATGGACATAGGGGGGGGTAGTCTTATACGGCGAGTATAGGCGAAAACCTATGTTTTAACTAGAAAATTAGGGGGTCGTCTTATACGCCCAGTTGCCTTATACGCCGGAAAATACGATAAGTCCTTGAACTAGACTATATGGACTATAAGCTATTTACAAATTTATTTCCAGAGTAATAATCATAAAAGTTGGAGAAACCTATGGACATAGAGATTCTGACTCAGGCCATGTGGCAGTAAGAAGGAATATTCACTTGCACAGCCTCTTAGGCCCTCAATGTGGAGCATGAGGTGAACTACTATATATATGCTTGATAGAATTTCTGGAATTGGGTGTATGGCATGCATGCACACTCAGGCTATGTCTAAACTACACCATCTGTTGGCAGAGGGATGTAAATGAAGCTCTTCGAAAGTGCAAATGAAGCGGGGATTTAAATATCCCACGCTTCATCTGAATAATCACGTCATGGCACTGTTTCAGCCTATATTTATGGCCTATATTTTAGGACATTTTTTGAGGAGTAGAGGATCTTTCAAAAAGGCGCCCCGTTGTCAAAAAAAACCCTGCATCTAAACTACAGTTTCAGTTTCGAAATGGCACTTGTTTGAAACAGCACCATGACATGATATTTAAATCCCCGCCTCATTTGCACTTTCAAAATGCTTCATTTACATCCCTCTGCTGACAGAGGGGTGTAGTTTAGATGTAGCCTCATCAGGTGTGTAATACATAGAGGGACCAGCACTCAATGGAGAAATTAACGTTACATAAAGAACAACTCAGTGAAAGTATTAAGTAGGCCTAACTGACTGAGTCTATTATCTGTTTGGACAAATTGTATTTACCAGGAAGGAACATTTTGAAAACTGAAAAAATAGATAATAAACACCATATAAAACTTGGTCTTACTCCAAAATGCTACTTCATGATAAATACAATTTGGTCTCATTATACATATAAAATCATGATCATGCACACAGACACACACCTCTCTACTTTCTAGAAAGAGGTTTACTCTACAATATTCTCTTTATATGTTAATGCACTAGAATATATAGAGTACAAAATTGTATAGACAGTCTTTAACAGCAAGCACCATGCTTACTCTAAATATTTTAAACAGTCCCTTTTCATACTAGCTTTTATTAGTATTTGTTCCTGCTTTGAGCACTACAGCTGCAAATCTATATAACTGTACGGTATATGCATTTGAGTTTGTTACCTTCTTGAGCAGCCACTGCAATATTCACAATATCAGTGACATTTGGGGTCAGCTTGGCAAAGAAAGGAATCTGAACAGCTTGTCTAACCCAGCGACAGATGTTACGGACTAGCTCTGGATTCTGTTCAAATAGGGCAGATAAATATAGGACATAATTAAAAGGAATATGATCAAAATGTATAGATGTGCAATAGGAGAATCTTCTGATAATTTGCTGTACTGTGGTTTTCTGAAATTAAACTTCACAATTGTGTCATGTCTCATTAGTTAACTTAGGTTAACACAATAAAAGCGAATTGCAAATCCATTATAGAAGAGTGAGATCACATAAAACAAAGAAAAATAAATCTTTTTCAAGAGACAATAAAATACAATAAAATATTTGTCAACAGGATAAAATAAAACTTCAGGCAACAAGGAATTAATTTAATCCACTAATATAGCAAAAAGATAATCTTTATAATGTGTCCCATTCCATGTAAATAATCGCTGTAATATAAAATAACACTATCCTGAGCCTACCAGCCCTATGTATTTCAGATTTCTGTACCACTCCATTAATTCAGAATATAGGTCAGGATGGTAAAAAGTTTAATGAAAAATCAAATCTTTTCAAGTTTGCAATAGAAATCTTCATGCTTTGGCTTCTTATGGCTGCCAGGTTTAGCTCAGTGACAGTAATGCTCATTGATTCTGGCCTATGCAGTAAGTATGGGTGGGTGTTTCGGGTTTTTGTTTTTAAATACAACATTTAGTACAAACTTCTCCCTGCACTTACTGATAATGCTGTTTAGTATATTCCCCTAAAAATTGGAAGTCAGTATTAACCTTGCTAATCTAATCCAGGTATGGTAAAATGTTTTTAGAAAATGGTGTTATTACAAGATGCAGTATAAACTTGTTACCTGTGGATAGTTTATTTGCAGCGCTGGTGATTGTTTATATTTATTAATTATTTGTCTTCAGCACAGATCATTAAACTCCACATTTAAAACAATTTTTCTCATTTTGATATTAATTACAACAGATATCCAACAATGTCACTCATAAAAATATGATGTGGTTAAGACGAAACTATGTTATAAAGTTCAGTTGATTTTGAAGATGTCAGTTTAACGATCTGGGCCTCCTGCATAAGAAATTCTTTCCATTGTGGGTTTTTTTATTTGACCTTGAACAATTAAATACAAACATCAAAACAATATATACAGTACATCTACACAGTCTACAATGCATATTCATGAACGAGAAAAATCCTGAGACTTAGCTCTGCAAATTCTAACTAATAAAAATGGTGATTTATCCTGTACATGCAACTTTCATGCAATATTTATAACAGCTGCATTGGATTAGGAAAGCAGTTGCATAGTTGTGAATTTCATTTCTGAGTTATTAATTTCCTGGGGTCCAGGGAAAAAATGAGAGAACCTCTAGTCTAGAAGATACAAATTGCACATCTCTGTGTTAATTCTTTCCACTAGACCTGGGTTTCTCAAACTTCATTGTATTGTGACCTGTCTGTCAACAAAAATTACTAGATGACCCCATGCAGGGGGACTGAAACATGAGCCCTACTGTCCCAGAAAATCTGAGTCCTACTGCTGGGGGGGCAGGGGCAGAAGCTTAAGGGTTTTAGCCCCTCTGATATTGGCTTCGGTACCAGAGCTGTGGGGTTCTGACTTTGGCTTCAGCCCCAGAACCCAATAAATCTAAGCCAGCCCAAGGCCCCAATAACAGGGTTGTGACCTACGTTGGGGACCTGAGAGCAACAGTTTGAGAACTCTTGTATAGACATTCTGACAAGAATGCAAACATTTGAATTATTACTATTAGACCTTCAGCATCAATTATCTGCCTTATATGGCCTGATTGATGCATTTTAATGGAATTTATTTAAATACTCAGATTCCAGAATCTAAATTTTAATTAAAAAAAATCTGATTTTTGCCCACCTGGTAATAAAGATAATTCCAAATGAAGTGTGCATAAATGGTATCCTCTTTGCTTTGTGAGTCTGCTGATAGTTTGAAACATTAGCTCTGTGTTTAGCTCCCCAACCTTTGTTATGGCACTAGGGTGTTGAACTTAAATTCCAGTGTGATGGTCCATTAGTGTTAGCATTAATAATTTAATTAATGGGAAATGGAAGATGGTAACGGGAAAGCCCATGAAGCCCATGAACTGGGATTTTATGCAGAGAAAGAAATACAGATGGAAGAAGAGACATAAAAAAAATAAATAAAATAAAACAGAGAAGAGGAAGCAATAAGAGAAAGAAAGATGGGGAAAGAAGAGGAACAAAGTGGAAATGTAGTATTAGTCCTCACAGTGAGGATGTTTAATAAAGGGAGTGCAAAAGAGTAACAGGAATAGGTTCAGAAGATAAATATTTTAAGACCACAAGTGCTCTTTATAGCCAGACAAATGCATTTTGGGAACATCCGGAAGACAATTCACATAATTTGCCATTTAAAAATGAGACATCTGTCAGAAAACTAGAAGCCACAACAATAATTTCAACAGGAATTTCACAACGTTATTGTTCAATATAGTACATTAGCTGATCTTGCCTAATTACAATTACATACAATGGATCAAAATTTACAGTCTTCAGTCACTTCTTAATTACTTTAATGGAAACAGTTTTGCCTGTATAAGGACAAGGTAAGAACTGAAGGATTTGGACAACTGCAATTATAGAAAGTGCAGAGTGATATTCTTTTGCCTGCCAAAATCCTCAGTGTAATGCATACTTACTAGAAATACAGGAATTGCCACACTGGACCATACCAGTGATTCATCTAAATACATAATCCTGTCTCTGATAAAAGTCAATTTAAGATGCTTCAGAGAAAGACACGGTGTAGGAGATCTGCTTACGAGGATTTTTCTTCCCAACTCTTATCTATTACTAAGGGTATGTCTACACTACAGCACTAATTCGAACTAACTTAATTCAAATTAGTTAATTCGAACTAAGCTAACTCAAACTATTGCATCTAGACCTAAAAACTAGTTCGAATTAGCATTCTGCTAATTCGAACTAGCATGTCCACATTGAGTGGACCCTGAACCGAGGTTAAGGATGGCCGGAAGCAGTGCCGGCAGGGCATCAGATTACGACTTAGAGCGTGCAGCTGCTGTCTCAGGCTAGCCGAGGGCTGTGCTTAAAGGGACCCGACCCCCACCCCAGACAGACAGTTCTCAGGGATTCCCCACTTGCAAAGCAGTCCTGGCTTGGAGTGCCCTGAGTGCCCACACTCGGCACATCAGAGCACTCGGCCATCCGCCCGGCTGCACTTGCCGCAGGCTGCCATCCGGGGGAGTCAATCGGGGGGCTGCAGGAGAGTTTCCACCCTGAGGAGCCAGCAGAGCCACCCCAGTCCTCCTCATCGGGGGCTCGTACCCCATTCCTCCCTCACATCCTTCCACTTACCCGTCCCTAGCCCCCCTTCCTGATGTAAAAAATAAAGGACATGTGTGGTCAAAAATAGAAACTCTCTTTATTTAACAAAACTGGGGGAGACTGGGAAAAGGAGGTGGGGGAGGGGAAGAGAGGGTGGGAGAGGGGAGGACAACTAAAATGATCAGGGGTTTGGAACAGGTCCCATATGAAGAGAGGATAAAGAGACTGGGACTTTTCAGCTTAGAAAAGAGGAGACCGAGGGGGGATATGATAGAGGTCTATAAAAGCATGAGTGGTGTGGAGAGGGAGCATAAAGAAAAGTTCTTAATTAGTTCCCATAATAGAAGAACTAGAGGACACCAAATGAAATGAACGGGTAGCAGGCTTCAAACTAATAATGGAAAGTTCTTCTTCACAAAGCAAATAGTCAACCTGTGGAACTCCTTGCTGCAGGAGGCTTTGAAGGCTAGAACTAGAACAGAGTTTAAAGAGAAGTTAGATAAACTCATGGAGGTTGGGTCTATGGAGTGATATTAGCCAGGAGGTAGAAATGGTGGCCCAGGCCTCTGTTTGTGGAAGGCTGGAGATGGATGGCACAAGACAAATGGCTTGGTCATTGTGGGCCACTGTCGGCAGACAGGCTACTGGGCTAGATGGACCTTTGGTCTGACCCAGTATGGCCATTCTTATGTTCTAAGATCAGGGTCAGGGGTCTCACTGGACCACCTTGATTTTCAGGCAAACCTGCTCCTGGGTGGCTAGGCTGGCAGCTATCCTGCCCTAGACTGCCACTTTCCTGTGCCCCACGATGTCTGCACTAGCCCAGGAAGGTGCCCGCCTCTTGCGGCCGCGGCCGGGCCCCTGGGAGCCGCCAGCCTGGTCCCGGGGAGAGGCGGAGGGCTGGGTGGCAGCGGGTGGCTGGCTCGTGCCGTTCCAGGTGCAGGGTCTGCTGGCTGGGTGTTCGCAGGCTTGCACCTGGCATGGGCACCATAGCCAGACCGTGCCCCTTTAAGGGCTCCGGGGCCGGGAGGGGGGCAGACAAGCCCTTAATTCGAACTACTTAATTCAAACTAGGCGTTAGTCCTCATAGAATGAGGTTTACCTAGTTCGAATTAAGCGCTCTGCTAGTTCAAATTAAGGTCGAACTAGCGGTTTGCATGTGTAGCGCCTATTAAAGTTAATTCGAACTAACGGCTCTTAGTTCGAATTAATTTTGTAGTGTAGACGTACCCTAACTGTCTTATGCCTTGAAGTGCAAGGTTTATATGCTAAAATGTTTTTATCTTATCTAATGTTACTATAAATATCATCCATATTAATCTCTAAGGGTATGTCTACACTACCCTCCTAGTTCGAACTAGGAGGGTAATGTAGGCATACCGCACTTGCAAATGAAGCCCG